CTGAAGAAGGATATCATGTTTGGTAAGTTGGAGGGTCAGAGAAAAAGAGGAAGGAAGACCCCCAACGAGATGGATTGGCCAATTGACAGCATCGATGGACTCAAGTATGGCAACAGTAGTGAGGTTGGCCCAGGATCGGGCAGTTTTCATTCACTATGAGTCGGTGTTGACTTGATGGCAACTAACCACAATAACATATAGAAAATACTATCACAAACCTCTCAGTTTGTCATACAGCCGTGACTTGAGTGTTGCTATAAAGCAGGGAGTTATGATACTGTTAATTCAAATACTAGGAGTGTCACTTAAGGTGGAAAGGTTGCAGTAGAACTTCCAGACTAATATATTGTTGTTTTTTGTCATTAGATACAATTGAGTTGGTACCGACTCATAGCGACTTATGCACAACAGAATGAAACACTGCCTGATCCTGGTCCAACCTCACAATCATTGCTACATGTGAGCCCACTGATGTTGTCACTGTGCCAATTTATCTCATTAGGGATCTTCCTTTTTCTTGGACCCTCCACTCTACCAAACATAAAATCCTTCTCCAGTGTCTGGTCCCTCCTGATAATAAGTCTGAAGTATGACAGACAAAGTCTGACTATCCTGGCTTCCAATAAGCACTCTAGCTGTGCTTCTTCAAGCACAGATCTATTTGTCTTTTGGCAGTCCATGGTACTTTTCATATTCTCCTCCAACACCATAACTCAAATACATCAATTCTTCTACAGTCCTCCTTATTCACTATCCAACTTTCACATGCATGTGAGGTTATTGAAATGACCATAGCTTGTGTCAGGTGCCCCTTAGACCTCAAGCTGACATCTTTGCTCTTCAACACTTTAAAGAGGTCTTGTGCAGCAGTTTGCCTAATGCAATACATCGTTTGATTTCTCGACTGCTGCTTCCATGAGTGTTGATGGTAGATTCAAGCAAAATATAATCATTGACAGTTTCAATCTTTTTTCCATTTATATGGATGTTATTTATCGGTTCAGTGGTGATGTTTGTTTTCTTTACATTGAGTTGCAACCCATACTGAAGGCCGTGGTCTTTGATCTTCATCAGTAAGTATTTTAAATCCTCTTGGCTCAGCAAGCAAGGCAGTATCATTTGCATATTGCAGGTTATTAATAAGCCTTCCTCCAATCCTAATGCCATGTTTTTCTTCATATAGCCCACCTTTTCTGATTATTGCTTGACCATACAGATTGAATAACTATGGTGAAAGAATCAATCCTGACACACACCTTTCCTAATTTTAAACCATTCACTGGTCCTTTGTTCTGTTCCAACAACTGCCTCTTGGTCCAGGTACAGATTCCTCATAAGCACAATTAATTATTCCAGAATACCCATACTTCACAGTGTTGTCAATAGCTTGTCATGATCCACACAATCGAAAGCCTTTGTGCATACATCTTAAACATCTTTCTGCTATTCTCTGTTTTCAGCCAAGGTCCATCTGATGTCAGCGATGATGTCCTTGTTCCAAGTCCTCTTCTGAAACTGACTTGAACCTGTGGAAGTTCTCTGTCGATGTATGGTTGCAGCTGTTTCTGTATTACCTTTAGTAAAACTTTACTCCGAAGGTGTATCAATGGTATTGTCTGATGATTTCTGCATTCCATTGGGTCACCTCTCTTTGGAATGAGCACAAATACAGATCTCTTCCAGTCAGTTGGCCAGATAGTTGTCTTCCAAATTTCTTGGCATAGATGAGTGCCATGAGTGTCACATTACTTTGTTGAAAGATTTCAATTTGTATTCCATCAATTTCTTGTGCGTTGTTCTTTTCCAATGACTTCAATTCACCTTGGACTAATATAGTCTAGGGAAAAAATCCTGGCATTCTATTTCCTAGAATTGTTGCTACAGTTGCTGTTATACGTCATTCAATTGGTTCAGACTCATAGATGACTCTATGCACAACAGAATGAAACACTGACTGGTCGTGCACCATTCTCACAGTTGTTACATTTGAGCATATTTTGCTGCAACTGTTCAATCTATCTCATTGGAGGTCTTCCTCTTTTTTGTTGACTCTTCACTTTACCAAGCACGATGCGTATTTCTTCCTGATGACATGTCTGAGGTATTAGAGACAAAGTCTTGCTATCCTAGATTCTAAGGAGCATTCTGGTTGTAGTTCTTCCAACACAGATTTGTTCGTTCTTCTGGCAATCCATGGTACTTTCAATATTCTTAGCCAACACAATAATTCAAATCAATTAATTGCAGCTTGTTAATGAGTCATCCTTAATCTTGATGCCTCGTTCTTCATATAATCCAGTTTCTTGGATTATTTTCTCAGAATACAGATAGAAAAATATGGCAAAAGGATACAACCCTGGCACATACCTTATTTTAAATGATTCAGTGTCCCCTTGCTCTCTTCTAACAACTGCCTCTTGGTCTATATACAGATTCCTCAAGAGCACAATTAAATGTTCTGGAATACCCATTCATGATAATGTCATCCATAGTTTGTTATTATTCACACAGTCAAAAGCTTTTGCATAGTCAATAATGCACAAGTAAACATCTTTCTGGTATTCCCTGCTTTCAGCCAAGATCCCATCCATCTGACATCAGCAATGATAACCCTAATTCCATGTCCTCTTTTGAATCTGACTTCATTTTCTGGTAGTAGTTCTCTGTTATTGTTGCAACCATTTTTGAACTATCATCAACTAAATTTTACTTGCATGTGATATTAGTGATATTTTTTGATGATATCTGCATTCCATTGGGTCACCTCTCCTTGGAATAGGCAGAAATATGGATCTCTTCTGAAGGTTGACTTGGTAACAGTTTTCTAAATTTCCTGGCATGGTTGAGTGACTACTTCCAGTGCTGCATGAGCTTATTGAAAGGTTTCAATTTTTCTTATTTCAGGTCCTGGAGCCTTGTTTTTCACCAATGTCTACAGTGCAGCTTGGACTTCTTCCTTCAGTAGCATTGGTTCTTGAGCATATGTTACTTCTTGAAATGACTGAACATGGACAATTTCTTGCATTGGTAGCATAGTGGGTTATGAGCTGCTAGTCACAAGGTCAGTAGTTCAAATCTACCAGCTTCTCTGCAAGAGAAAGATGATGCTTTATGATCCCATAAAGTTTTTCAGTCTCAGAAACCCTATACAAGGTCGCTATGAGTTGAACTCCACAGCACATAACAGCCACCTCCACACTGACTCTGTGTATTCCTTCCATCTTCTTTTGATGCTTTCTGCATCATTCAATTTTTTTGTCCAGAGAATTATTCAATATAGTCAGCTTGAATCTTTTCTTCAGTTCTTTCTGCTTGAGAAATGCTAAGGGTGCTCCCTTTTACTTTTCTAACTCTGAGTCTTTGAACATTTCACTGTAATATTTTATTTTGTGTTCTCGATCTGCCCTTTAAAATGTTGTGTTCCATCCATTGATTCCC